GTGGAAAATCTGGCCATTTCCAGAACTCCAATATTTACAAACTATAAAAGGTCGCGGGGCCACTGTCGTTTTAATCTCCTTGGAGGATTATATGGATGGGTGGTGCTGGATAGAGATTGTGCAAAGGGATTTGGATGGGTAAGGTTCTGGTGGAATTTGGAGAATTTTGCTGGAATAAGATCTAGGACAAATGGGAAATTAAGGTCATGGCGTAGGATTACAACATGATTGCTTGTAAAGTATGTGTATTGAAGATTAACAACATGAATGACATAAACTGATAACTAACATTTAGATTCAGAAATATCCACAGAACATAACAGCTATGATTTAATCCTGAATGGATTTATCATATTTTCATAATTATTAATTAATAACAAGACGATTTACCGATTCATTATGTTAGACATCCTAAAATGCATTTTTACTGCAATTTTTACTTTGGGTTACATATGTAGTAGGGAAAAATATCGCGATCGTGAAAATTTGTGTACTGAGTTTTTAACAAAATACACGTTCTGAGGTCCTCTGAGTCCAAATAACCAAGTCCCATAAAATGGTCTGTGTGTATGTGACAGCCTAGTTCAAAAACGAAAAGTCGTATGGAACTTAAATTTTTTTAAAGGTTTTTATATAATTCAACGTGACAGCACTTTTTTTGTTAAAATCGGCTAAGCGAAAGTACTACATTATATCAACGGTGAAACGCATTTTTACAGTTTTCTCAGAAACGGCTCTAACGATTGTGATTAAACTCGGAGTATCATTGTATAATTAGTGGCCTTGAATATAATTTAAGTCTTATCACCGTCGATGACACTTTCCAGAGCTTAAATGCCCAACGTTCGTATATGTTCTCATATAAAGTATTCTTCATATCGATTATTTAAAAAAATGAAAACTCTTTAAATGACAGTAACTATAAAAAATGCTAAATATGAAGTTTGAAAGAATGTGATAATTGAAAATTGGAAAAAAAAAAAATGCTTATACAGGTTGAAAATGAATATCCGGAAATAACAATCAGAATTATTATTATAGAGAATTATACATATGTATAATATATCGTTGGAAAGTAAAGAAATTCAGAAAAAAATAATATCAAATAAATAAAGTTGTTGAAGGTAACAGAGAGTGACAAAAAAATATAAATTATAAAATCAGAAAACTAACATTATTTAACCTAAATCACATGTTTCTAAGGAAATTAAATGAACTTTTCTTAATAAATGTAAACTTTAATTTTTTTTTTTTTAAGTTTGATAAGTAGTATTTAAAATCCACCGAATCAAGCCAATACCATTGTTTAAAATACTATTTCATTGTACTTGTGTGAAAGAAGAAGTGAAATATAAAAATATTTCATGAATATGTTTATGACCTTAAATACATTTACTGTAGTTTAATTACTCTTCGATATAATATTATATTTATATAATTAGGTATCTATTGGCTGCTTATTACAAAAATCATTAAGTAACCTATTAGAAAATTAAATTAGTGAATAATTTGATGAATTTTCCCTTTGTGAGATCCCAACATTATCCACTTACAATTAGTGTAAAAACTCGTATTCGAAAGCAATCTCTCTCACGCAAGACATACAATAACCACTTTACTTTATATTTTCGTACGTTTTGTAACAATAATGAATGCAATCTGTCCTTACCTGGCGGATTATTGTCACTAAATCCTTCATGTCGGGAGCTCTTTTGGGGGACGGCAGAGAACACAGACTAGGAACCGAAGCTAACCGAGCTCCTTCAAGTGGGTTAGTGCAAACACTTGCTAAAACACCGGCCAGTATCACGTAGCATTTATTGCTGACACTTCAATTGAAATCCCCTAATCAGACTGAAACGACAAGAAACCGCTCGACGTTTCCTATTACTTCAGCACTTAGTAGACCAACGCTCTAACCTTCCAATTAATTACAAAATACTCATATTACTATAATAAGGCCTATTTGGAGTTACGGAGTTGAGCTATGGGGCTCCACCAAACCTTCAAATTCCTCCCATATCCAATCCTTACAAATCAAAATCCTTAGTAAAATCCTCAATGCTCCTTACTTTGTTCAAATAAAATCATCCATAATGACCTTAATGTTCCTTATGTATCAGATCTGGTCCAATCCAGATATCTATCCTTCCATAATAAACTTCATAAACGTCCCAACCCTCTTGTTTCTAATCTTGCTTCCTATTCAATTCCTGATAACCCTCCGAGGCGTCTGAAAAGACGATGGCCACGTGATCTAATATGGACATATTATTAGAGTGGTGCTACCAATGGGTAGTTTCTCAAAATGTGTTTCATGTCATTATATCCATGTGCGAATTTACTAGATGTATTTTTTGTATACAGTTGTAAATATCATATAAATAAAAAAATATATAAAAATAAATAAATAAATAAATTTGGAGCGTTGATATCTTTTGAATAAAATCATCAGATTAGATTATTTATAATTTTAGAAACAATAATATTTGGAGCACAAACAAAAAAATGGCTATTAGAGGCTTTTTCATCATTCCCTCCTCATTTGGTTGCATATATTTTTTGCAGTTAAAAAAAATATATTCTGGCTCAGACCAGAATCTTTTTCCCTTCGAGCCAGCAATATTGTAGAAGGAAGATTAAGAGCCCAGACGAGTTCAGTTGTAGTTGATTCTATATAAGTAGAACATTCTGCCAAAATCACCATTCCAACCGTCCCAAATCTTTTATTTTGAAAACCATCCAAACCCTGAAACGAGGTCCGAAAAGTGAAAAGTATCCCCTATCCCCTATAACATGTTCAAATGAGAATAACTACCAGTAACTTTGGTCAATGATGGAATATTGGCGTATATCAGATGCTATAAAAGACTTTTCTTTATTGTAAATGAAGTTGGAAATTATTAAGAAAGGGCCTGAGTATGATGAAATAATAAATAAATTATTTTTAGTATATAAGTTTTTGTTTTAAATTATTTATACATAAATTAGCATGCATCTTTACAAAATTATTTTTTATTTTATTAATTGACCACTTTTGTTTTATTACTTGTTCATTATGCACTGTTTCCTGAGAACGCTGTGCCTGTTTCCGTTCAACCGTCCAGGCTATTCCAGTCCTCGCAGTTCTGGAAGCCCTTCCAAACCACCACGAATTACAATCTGAAAAGTATCCTTATTCAACATCTGAACCTCCCGAATCTAGTACCTTACTAGATATTTGGAAACTTTCTTGATCAATCGTTGTCGTCTTGTTCCGCATGTAGTCAAACATCCTTTTGGATCGTACGATTTGGTCGTATAAATTTCGTAGAAACGATAACCTCTTCTCATTCTCGTGATCTATGAGATTTTCTTCACATTTTTGTGAATCTCATTGTTGTCCCCATTTTTTAGAAGGATTCAACCTGGATTGAGCCATGATTTTTCGTTGTAATATTCTTTTTCTATATCCATTTTTTTATTTAATGTATGATTCTATCCAGATTGTATTGAAATTAACTTTTAAAAAATCTGTGCTTTAGTAGTCTTCTCACCAGTTAATTATAAATGATAATTTTTATCTCTCTTAAATTTCTTCAATTTTGGTAGAAGTTCCATTCCTTTGATATGCCCTGACCATTTTCCTCTATTTGTTTAACCGATTATTTTCATGACCCCAGTTTTATTGAAGATTGCTCCTAAACGATTTCTTGTTACATTTCCTTTTGCTGTATCGCAGATAAATTTCAAGTTTTCATTGTTCTGTCCTGTGTTTTAACCAAATCCTTATGTTTTGGTTGTCAATGAGGAACAAAATATGTTTTGTATGACTGGCAATTTAATTTTCTTTTTGAATTTTAATGTGTATGAAATTGAATCTTCCTAGCTTCATAAGGATTTTAGTTTCATGTAGTGTTATTAATTATTTTTTAACAACCTTACTGTTACTTTTAGATGAAATTAGAAGAGAAAAAGAAAAAGGAAATTTCTATGTTTATTATTTCATAAGTATATTTCAGGGAAGTCTTGCATTTGGCATATTATGTCCCAGTATTCAGTGAGAATAACCTTGGCCTTTGACAGAATACATGTATATTGGATGCTGAAAAGTGGGCAAAGTTTGGATATAAGTAAAAACAAACCTATTTTTGAAAAAATGAACATTGAAATATTAAACAAAAGTTAGATCAAATCAGCTAACAACATAACCATTGAGTACCACTAAACAAATCACTCTCTATTGTCTATGAAAAAAAAACAACTTTCCGTAGGAATCTCGTTAGTGGGTTTGTAATTGTTCGTGGCATCTTTCTCAAAAGTGTGCCACTGCACTGTTCCTACAACTGCCTGTCTGGATATTTTTTCCAAGTTTGATCTCAATTTGTTGAGCAATGTGGCATATTTTTTTTTTTTTTTTGTTCTTCCCTACCTCGCCTTTTAGGCTATACGAGATTTCCCGGGCCGGGGGTGAGGGCGGGGAATTTAAAATCCCCTCCGGCACCGGGACGCGAACTCGTACTTTTTATATGATCTCAAAACTCTGTTATCCGGTTGCCAGGCAACTAGCGGTGTTGTGCACACGCTTTAGCCTATTCGGCCACCCCGTCCCCACACACCTTTTTTCAGTGCAACAACATAAAAAAAGAGCAGCAGATATAGATGGACTACGTCAAACATCTAATCCGATTATCTGCTGGACATTACATCGGTTATAAATAACCCATCCTTAAGAAGCAAAGACGGAAATCCAGCCTTATATAGCTTCATCAACATGTTGTATTGTCCTATGATCCGGGTAATACTCCTAAAGGATCGGCAGTACATGTTGGTTACAAATCTTCCATATGAGGGTATAATAATGACAGCCCTCTTACTCGTTATAAAACGGGCTTCATTTGTGAAGATGGTATATCCTAGTCTGGTTAAAGCATTAATGTTCTTAAAATTCCGCAGACCACGTGGCAAATTATTTGCTTCAATGACAGTCGGGAAATGGTTATTACAAAATGTGGTTTTTCCTAAACCAGGTGGAGCAAAGATGAGATGTCCACTGTCACTTTTGTCTCTAGTAAAGCATTCAATTCAGAATGCGATATGCTACCTGTGGATGAAGATTGAAACTTACAAGTAGTTTCGTATTTTAATACTTCATCAATATTAGGTATAGTCTCAATACACTGACGGGAATCCAGTTCAGCGGTTGTTGGTTCTTTAGCATCGTAGTATTTCAACTTTTCACGTGCTAGATCTTCAAGGTCACTTTCAGGTAGGTCATCGTCAAGGATGCAACGTTCAACTTCAGCGCAGGAGATGATATCCTGTACAATGGGTGTCGAAGCTGAAGCGACCGACGGATACTGGTCATCGATGTTATCGAGAAACTCAGTGAAAGGTATCTTCGTGACTATGTTGGAATTAGGCCGGCAATATCCATGTAAGTTCTTCAACCTAATAACTTCAAGATAGTCGCTTATGTCATCAAAGGCTGGATGTGAGTCGAGGTACGCATCGGTCAACGCTAATGCCGTATTTAAGCGGGCCTTGTTCTCCGCAGACATTTTAAGTGTTGGAATACGCTTGCGTCTTCTCTCTCTTGGTTTTCCAGCAGTAGCTCTTTGTTCAGTAGTGTCTTTAGGCGGGGATCCAGCTCTAAAGTTATCCTCTTCAATAATGTGTTCGCTGGCTACGTCTTCTGACAGTTGGCCGGAATCACTTGAAGTATTATCAATGTTGTCAGAGTCCTGCCGACTGTTCTCACTTTCGGCGGCAATACTTATATATGCGTCTGGATTGAAGGACGGATGTGTAAAATCATTTACATTATCATTGACTGACAGGGCGTCGATGTTAATTACGACTTCAGGTAGGCCGCTATCATCAATGGAAGCTAGGAAAGCTTCTTCATCCCAGTTTTGTCCCCAGTTCGCCATGATGTTATAATTTAGTTAAGGTTTCAATTCGACAAGGGAGATCTACCACCGCAATGTGGCATATTGCCCTATCATTCCAGTCATGGTTCTGGCCTGAACATACCCTCCTGTTAAGGCTTCACTATCCAAGTGCTTGAAGAATTCATCTCCCCAGTTTCTGTTTCTTTTACCTGAGAAGGAGCTCTGTGCTACTATTTGGGAACTGGAGGTTCCTAAGAAGTCTGTGCTGAAGCGAGCTTGGACCATCTCTTTAGTTTGTATGGCGTGAAAGACATTTTCTTTTCAGCTTTTCCAAAAGCCGGACTTCGCTGTTTTCTGTTCATAAAATTGGGTTCTCCTTCTGTCATCCATTTCAAGATACCCAAGTCCTCCTTATACGTGCCGAACACTGAGTGAAAGTATATCTGCTTGACCATCTCCGGATATGAGCAGGTATTAGGAACATTTAAGACCCACTTATATTCAGTCAGTTTCTGATATATCTCAAATGCCATAGCCCCAGAGAAGGAGAGCCCATTTGTCCAGTCAGGGTCATTTGCAGTGACAGTGATTGAAGTTAAGGCACCATTAGCATCTTTAGCTTTGGATACTGATTCGATGGTGTTTGGATGGATAAGAACCTTCACAAGGCAAAAGCCAGGAAAAAACTTCCTGTTTGCACTTCTTGATACGGTTATCACCAATATATCCGCCATTATTCTAATAATGTGGGTGGGTGCGTGCGTGCGTGTGTGTGTGTGTGTTTTTCCAGTTGGCGCTACAGACCATTAAGATCTTTGCCCGTGTGATGTGGTCTCCGAGATCACCTCCCGATCCCCGATTTAAGTACACGGGGGTAGGGTCATCAGTCCTACGTTCGGTTGCTGTGAGTTGCCTCCAGTAGACTGACGGGGCTCACAGACCCGAGGGAGGGTCTTAGGCAGCATGGTTTTCTCTGGTGGACGGTCACCTATTGAAGTGCTAACCACGCTCGGCGTTGCTTAACTTTGATAACCTATTGCAAGCACCCTTGCCCGCATGGCTACTCCAGCCTCCCATCAATCAAATCGTTATTTCTTTATCAATCAGTTGTCAAGATATACAAAGATCTCATATATATATAGATGACCTTATGTCTATCCGAAATCAAAGGAATAAAAGCCAGATGTAATTTAAAACAGAAAAAAAAGTGAAATCTGTAATGGCAGAGCGGGGATAGTGCAAGACACACGGGGACGCTTGACCGTAAGTGAAAGACCATCAAAGCGGAACGAAGACTCAGATATATCAATCAGAAGAGGTTGTAGATCTACGGCAGACTTAGATCTAAGTACCGGACTTAATTAATGGAAGCAGGTTCCTAGTTGGAACCGCACAACCTACTTCTCCACCACACAGGCCACCGCCAATACTAAGTAGCCAATTACCGCAAGGACGTCTGTCTCTCATCAGTCTTCCTCATTTTTATCTCTATCGTTAAAATACTCGCTCTAAATAGTTTTAAAGGTTTCTTTTTCTTTTTTGATAAACTCTTTATTTTAAGAACTGTGAATTCACATGAATTGTTAGATTAAGCTTCCTAATGAAATCGCCATACATTTTTTGATAAAATTTCCGTGCACCGTCCTAATATCTAGTGACTGGTTTAAAAATTAAAAAAAACAAAACAAGTAAATTGTTAACAGAATAAGCGTCGTGGATAAGGGGTGGATGAAAAAAAAGGCATAAGTAAGATAATTATTTTCATTGATGCGTCTAAGATTGATTTCCCTAAACGTATTTTTTTTTGTTTTAACTTTCCTCTTCATAACAATTTGTAATATATTCAAGAATTCTAGTAAGAAATTTTTGAACACAGGTAATTTTCCTTTTTAATGATTATCTTGGTAGAAGAAATTTTCTCTTTTTCTTCATTCCTTGTGCTTGATCCGCCACTGTGACAGCATAAAGGTTTTGACTAAACAATTGCTACTTCTAAGACGAACCTTGCATTGATGGTACATACACAGCTCCGTACAGCAGTAACGAATTCAGGATTTCATTAAATTTTTGTCCTGAGTGGGATACAAAATTATATAATAGTGATGGTTTAAGACATTAAAAAAAAAAAAAATAAAAATTGAATTTCATATTATGAATAATAATAGTTTCAGAAACAAATTATTTTTTGTTAACATGTGCATATATATTTATTAGTTTTATTGCGTTTTAATTTAAGAAGATTAAATATAGTCATTGTTTAATTACGTATCTCAGATCGATCGTAGAAATATGGGCCAATGAAAATTAAAGTATTTTCCCCTATTTTGGGGGGCTTCATCCAAAAGATAAAGATCTGTCAAGTTCGCATTATATTCTTAACACTTTAGACATTGTGTAAAACCGTTAATTAAGCTCTCATGCTAAAAGATGCTGAAAGATACGGTGACATCCTTGAGAACTGCTGATTCCAAATGTTCTACTTTCACGGAACCGGCTCCTGTATCTCACGACTGTTCCAGAAGATGCTGGAAACAGAAATCATTTCCTCTTCAGCTCTTAAGTGCCCATCTTCCTCTTGAAGGTTATCATTATTAAGGTGTTATCAATATCATTTTTCAGGATTTACTCGTCCTCAACCCCAAGGTGGTTCACGGTACATTTGAAATAATGGTACTATAACTTCTCACATTTTTAGCAAAAAGTCTCATTTCGCGTGACTGTTTCGTTTGTATTACTTATGTTTTATTACGTGAATTACATTATTTATTTATGGCGCTACGGTCCCACAAGAACCCAGACCTCTCACATAATTCTACTGGATGAGCGCATTCGTCATCTTTGGATTCTCATTCTTTTCAAGATGTCCTCGACCTCATTATTAATTAATAGAATCCCAAGATAAGTTGTAAAGTTGATTTGTAAATTTTATTAAATTCTGGGAAACGTGTCGTATGATTAATTCTTTTAATATCTGTATGTTTGAAATGTAGGTTTTAATGTGAAATATAACTTTTATCTGTGTCATTTGAACATAAAATTTTTGCAGGAATGTTAATATATGTATAAAGAAAAAAGTTATATATAAATGTAAGGCTAAAATTGGTCGTATGAAACCAGGAAGAAAGCGTGAGAAGAGTCGGTTTCCTTTTTAAAAACAAGTTTTTAATTGAGAGGCTCATTTTTAAAAATCGTTGCAAAACTGGAAAACGTTAGATCCAGTTATGGATATCAGCCTTTGTTGTTATTTCTATCGTATCTGATTCTCCAACTAACTCTTAACATATATCAATCCCTATTTGAATGGTAATGTATTAGAAAATGATTTTGGGTAACTAAATAAATGCCCGTAAATATTTATATATTTTAAAATTAAAATAAATTAATTAATTGTGTTCTACCATTTTATGTTCTGGCTGGAATTTAACTAAAAGCTGCGATACATTTTTCGAATATTATCTTTTTCATAGGTCCGTGTCAATCTAATTTTAATTAACATACTGCTTTCCTTATTCGATTCATTGTTTTATGGAATAAAATGCAATACTTTCGTACCAAACTATATCATTTAAACAACCGTTGGAAAACTCCTTTTTTATTCAAGTTATAAAGTCGGTTTAAAAAAAAAAAGACAAAAAGAATTTTTGTGGTAATGCATAATTATTATTTAACATTATTGAATTAACATTAACTTTACGTTCCTAAAATGGCAGAACAGATCAAAAATAAACTTGTAACTTGGAATACCAATTGCATGTTTTTGTTTTAAAATTTCTAGTTGTTTGTTATTTATGTCCTTGCTTTTAGGTCATGTCCTATTTTCTTTTGAATTTACTGGAAAAAAACAAGTCTTCAGCACTGATAATAAAAACTTTAAAATGCATTTTGTAAATTTTTCTTATTACTTGATATTGTTTTATAACTGCCCTTTTTGAATCAGTTTGAAATAGAGAGGGAGGGAGGGGAAACTATGTTACCAAATCATAGAAATTATACAGAACCTCAATGTAATGTCTCTTTGTTCTGATAACAAAAAGTTAATTAAATTAAACAAAACAAAGAGTAATAAAAATAGTTTTATTTTAAATATTATTTAAACATAATTTAAATTTCATAAAATCTATTGTATTTGCACAATCGATTTTATTAATAAAAAGAATTTGTATTTAATTTTATAAAGTTTCGACCTGATTACCTATTTCTTTACAATATGATTTTCTAAAGTACAAGTTAAAATCTGGAAATACCATAATAATATTCATTCTCCATTACATTTACACATTTTCTTTACCAGTTATTTATTTTGGAATGCGGTTTTATTTATTTCGTTTTTATTTAATAGTTTACTTTTTGCAACTTTCATTTACTTTTTTTTAATGCATTACACGGTTATATATTAAATTCAAAACAACAAATTAACTAACTAGTAAAGGTGTGAAAAAATGAGAAATCATGGAGTAAAAACCTTAATTTTTATCTTCCAGTATCATATTATAAGATAATTATAAATTTTTGACTGTAGTATCAATGTTAGTTAATTTGAAAATGACAAATAAGGCCGAAACGTTAAAATATTTAATAATTTTTTTTTATAAGCAAAACGTGTTAGGTATTGTATGCTCATTTTAAACTATTAAGGGTCAATATTGAAAATTTAATAAGGTTCCCATTAAAATGAACAATTATAATAAAGTTAGCACATAGTAAAATTCCTGAATCATTCATTTTCAATTATATTACAAACAAATTAAATAAAGTACAAGCGTAATTAACGCTACATTTGCAAGAACAGTATTATAAGAGTCATGTAGCGACTACGTTCCATTATTCGATATTCAACTCGCGTATTGTGCTATAAGCATTGTTGGGACAAGCTCCTGTGTTGAGATGCGTGTAAGATAATACAATATATATATAAAACATACACGAGTCTCAGTACGCCTAAGCTTAAAATGAAACAGAAGTATAATTGTTTCCATATCTTATTGTATACGGAACTTAACGCTAGAATGTTATTTGGGACACATCTTATCATTAATATATTTGTAAAATGAAGTACAGAGTGTAATATTTTATTCATTTTTCTATTTAATGATTAAATTTAGTCAAGTAAGCATATTAAGTCTGGTACAATACGTCAAAAATAAATTCATTTATTAAAGCTCGTATTACATCAAACATAAGACTCGTGGATTTGTTTGACCCACCTATTTTCTCGTTGGTGCTGGAAATATGGAGGAAATGCGTATCAATAACAAATAAATCAATAAGAAAATATATTTTTGCTTATTTATAATTTATTTCGCAAAGTGAAAAAATACATGCTGTTTTTTTAAATCGTGTTCTGCTAAGATTTAGATTTAAATTTTAGTATGGAAATCAAACTAGTATCAATTTTAAAATCCTCTTACAGATGAGTCGCAAAAATCGAATTAGCCTGAAAATTTAAGATGCACCTCGTTTAACAATTTCATTCTATGAGAAAATAATTTATTATTATTATTATTATTATTTATTAACAAAAATGTAGAACTTTAGATTAAATTTGCAATCTGCAAATTTCTTTGCAATCTGCAAATTTTTTGGATGCTTCACAGCTTCCTATCACGTCCGGGATATAAGTCAGAACAGCAGGTCTCTTGGCCAACGCCTACGTAATCGTCGTAGTGGGCTGTACGGGTTTCTTGTACGATGAAGAATTTCTGTCAGGGGATTCATGTTGTACGTCAGTCTTTGGTGAAAGTTATTGTAGTTCTCTTTTGCAGTATCTAAAATTGTAGGTACGTTTTGTGTCTTTATGTAGTGTATCATTTGTGACATAAAACGGTGCGTCAACTATCCTTCGCAACACTTTTGACTGAAAGGACTGAACTTTTTTAATGTTATATATTACACGGTTATATTTATCAGTTTTAGCAGAACCCCACAGTTCTATGCCGTAAGTCCAAGTTGGTTTAAGTAAAACTTTATAAAGGGTTAGTTTGTTAGTTAACGATAATTTTGAACGTCTGTCAAGTAATCTGGATAAAAGACATAAGACAATAATAAGATATAAGAGAATAATAAAAATAAAATACGATGCAATACGTTTACTGTTATTGTTTTCACATTTCTTGTAATTTAATTTTTAAATAGTTAATCGTTATAGAATACTTCATAAAAATATAAATTTATGAATCATAATCATTCTAGCAGAAACCTTATTTTTGGATGGTGTTGATTAACAAATATATATATATATATATATTAACATGCTAGGATATATATAATAAATATAATTCTCTTGCACTTAGTTACAACTAAGTTTTGCTATCACTCTGTTTCTTCAATGTTGTTAGGTAATATCTAATTCTTTTAAAATTTGTATGTATATGCTGCTAAATAAAACTAGCTCTTCACAAACTAAATTCTAACTAGTATCACAGTAGCTTCAGTGTAAAGATAAAAAAAAAAACATCGATATTATTGTCTGATCGTTATTAAAACTATCGAAATCAATATTTAAAAAAGAATGGTCAGAGCAAGTTCCTTACCTTTCTTTTTATTACATAATTTACTTTATTTTAAATTCAATGATTTGAACTTTTTTGAGAAATAAGGGAAAGAAGTACACAAAATTAGATAATATCAAAATTGGGCTAAAATTTACATTACCTACAAATTTCATCAAATCGAATCAACGGCAGCAAGTATTACGCCCGTCATTCGTCTTCGACGATATACTACAATTTAAATTAAATATATTAAATTAAACTAGAATTTAAAATCTTTTACAGTATAAATGAAATTTATCTTTCTATACTGCCAACCATCACTTTACTCTCCCTCTAATTAGGTACATTAGTTTAATTGATAAGTGGAATCTGATGAAATTTATACCAGACCATTCCTACGCTTTTTCCAAATTTGCTGGAACTTATGGCCAAATCAAACACAATTTTTTTTTAGATATTGGTGCATCAAAATGCACATTATTCACAGTTGAAAGAGAAAGTAGTGGATAAAATTGATACAGTATCATTATTTCAGTAGCCTACAATTATTCTCTTATTTAGGCTAAATCGAACGAGAACGAGTCGTTTTTACAATCTAATATGAATAATACCCAGGTGTTACTAGCATAATCATTGAGAACTAGAAAACTTTTCTATAAATCTAGGAATTGACAAAATTTTTTTATTGGATATTGCTGATAACAACGTTTCATTGAACTGTGAGTCGCTTATATTATATGTTAATAGGACTATATTTATCGTGATCATGTCTGTTTGACAACTGATTAATGTCGAAAGTATATTCAAGACATTAATAGTAATTAGTGCCAAGAGATATGCTCGTAAGACATAGACCAGAATGTGAATAGGAAGATAAGTAATAGTTTTAATATCACTGATATGGCGGTTGTATTGTCTGTTTTACATGATATTTCATCTGTTCATACATGTGTAGATATTATGAATTTTAGAAATTTATTTAATTGGTATTTTATTATTTATACCACTGACCAATATATATTATGTGAATCATTCTCGCGATCCAACTATTAACTTCGTTATGTGAACAAAATAAGGTATATAAATGAATAAATAGCTCTGCACACACCGGCAGAAAATGAGCTATTTAGAATTTGTCTTTGTAGGTTTGATCTTAAATTAGTTTCGAGCCCACGGGATTAATTCGCTAAATCTAAATTAAATGGATCTAAAACCATATAATATAATATAACAAAAACTATCATATTTATAGATATTACCATAACGTCGGTGTTACTTGCATTTATTCTATTCTCAATTGCACTCAAGTCACTTAGTGTTTCTCATTTGAACGTCTAATCAAATAACTCTTTATATATCACTGTTATATATCACAAAATGATCCCTTAATACTATAATGATAACAATATGATTTTCAAGTAATATTTATTTTTCTATAGGTTTGTGGTATCTTTATTATCTCAATTGATACGGAACGCATATTAGATTGGATGTATAAATTGGATATAATACATTTTAAACTAAATATGTTTATTCAATGATGACGGGTTGAGAGGAAAAACCGTAGTATATTTGTTGGATGGAAGTTTTGAAGCTGGTAACACAATCCTAAACTAATATGTATAAGGTATCCAAATTTATGAACTAGGGCCGGGTATGGCATAAGTTAGCTGCGTCCTTTCTTGTGCCGTGCTGTTACACTTTTCTTTAACGTTAATCTTTGTAAATATGTATCTGGAAAACTGGGAAGTTTTTGCGTTTCTATTATTATCAATAGCGAATCAAAATTGGTGTAAACCCAAATAATATCATGTAAACACGTTTGCTATCAAGTACGAGTTATATCGTACGCACTGGCTATGGTTAATTCGTTGAACGTTTTTGTTTTTTCTGCGCAGCATACGATCAAACTGATAGTATTTTATATTCTTTCCAGGTATGTGATTGAAGAAGAGATTAAGGTTAGACTGAAGGCGAAATGCTTGTTATTTTCCTGTAACAAAACTACTTAGCTCGCGCCTCTTGTCCCGGTACTTAAAAATTAGAATATATAAAACCATTGTATTACCTACAGTTATTTATGGTTGCGAAAGGTGGCCGCTTACATTAAGGGATCAGCAACGACTTGAGTTACTAAAAGTTTTTGTTAATATTTGTTGTTAATATTTGCTGTACCGAATGGTAAACGTCCTAGGGGTAGACCGAAGCGAAAGTGGGAAGATTGTATTAAAGCCGATCTGAAGGGACTAGGTTTGGACGGCGAACGGTGGAGGGAGGTGTGTAATGAGCGATTGGTGGTGTCGGCATCGAACCTTCGGGTTCGCTAAGCCTTTTATTATTATTATTATTCCAGGCATGTGAGTTCGTGTATGGATTTGGTGGAACCATTTTTGAAAATGTCGCTAGGCAGCGAACGTAATTAATTGACTGTTTATTTAAATATTCTTTTCTACATAACTATGAATTAATTTTATAAATTAATGATAATAAAGTAGGAACCATTTCCCGCTGAAGATGAGAGAGTATAACCTAAGTGAGGAACGGAAAGTCAACGCTTGATGGATTGACAGATGAATAGGAATTCCACCTTCCGTCCTACCTGAGCGGTCGTAGATCTCGGCTCGACGACGTCTCATTGTCATGCCTTTCATTTGAGGTGTGAGCTGAGGTAGGGTGGGCTTTTGATGTCTCCTATTACCGGTTTCCGACCAACCTACTGACCGATTAAAAGAAGAATGTTGGTTGAAAAATGAGAGTCCATTTAAAGGAGGAATTTTTAACACGACGGTCGCCGTAATTGTTTTACATGAAGTTGTTTATCATTCTCAAATAGGAAGCCCATTACTGCGGGATTATGTGATGGTGGAATTTAAATTGAACTTGAACATGTCTTGAGTTATTTTTAAATCTATTAATCCCGGATCCTTTGTCGCTTGTGGTTTTTATCTGCGTTTGTCACTGCTATAGTTATCATTCCAAGAATTCCTATAAACAAGGAATTTTAAAAATTGTTAAAGCCAGCATATGGTCGTGCGGGCAACATCTTTTTTTTTTTTTTTTTTTTTTTTTGGAAATTCTTGTATTTCCAATTTAGGTTTAATAGTATATTTATTTTTTTAAAGATAATTTCAAGCATTTATGGAATCCCTATTAAAACATACTCACCAACAAAAAAAAAAAAAAAGAAAAGAGATTCTACCCGTCTTCAATTCTCTTTTCTGATGAATAAAATATAAGTGGAAAAAATTTTAAGAGCCGTAAGAGGCTTATGCGTCGCACAGACCAATGTTTTCCGAAAAAGCTGCCTTTCTAACTTAATTTACATAGTATATTAATTTATTAAATATTTTTCTATCTTTACAGTTTCTAACAGATGAGGAATCTTGATTAAAACTCAAACTTATTGTATAAATGAATTCTACCCAAAGGATCCAATACAATGAGAAATATTTCTAATTCCCTTTTCGATAAATATAAAAGGTTATTTTAGGAAATGTATGAGATTAATACAGTTGAACGGACAAACTTTTTTTTTCAAATATATTTTCGTAGTATATTTATTGTTAAAAAAAATTTTAATATTCGTGGAATCTTTCCTAAAAAATAAAAATGATTTCTATTGAAACGATTCAATACTATGAGTTACATCTTCAAATTTATGTAAAACTGTAAATTTAATTCTCCTAATATAATTTGGCTAATATACTTTTATAAAAAAAAAATGAATAAAAAGAATAAAAGAGTTATTTAGTCTCTTCTCCATTATTACTCAAAATTGTTTTGGTTAATTTCTCTCAATATTTCCCAATGAATTATCAATACAGACGATGAGACCATCTACACATCGCTGCAACGCGAGACATCTGTCATCTATACTTCTCCTTCTCCGTAGCTCCTTCCAATATTGATTAATTGAATTGATAAAGCGTAACGAATTTTTAAAAATAAAGTTATTCTCAAGGGTAGGAAAGTTAATTTTCGACACATTGAAAGAAAGTAATTACAAATAAATAACGTCCGCTATAAGAAAAAAAAACAGTAAACTTATGTTTTATGCGTGCAATCTGCTTCGAGCAAACGACGATGCTACTAGTTTCAAACCTGTCAGTAACGAGTTTGTAATCAGTAGCATTGTAGTCGCTGGCAATCTACTTGTCGAGTCACTGTGAACCCCAGTAGAAGTTTTTTTTTATCTTTCCTTACACAAACTTAAATTTAATTTTTTTTGTAACTAATTAATTTTCATTAATAGAACAATTTAATGCATGAAAATTCAAAAAATAATATGAAATCAAAAAATAATATGAAGAATTCGAAAAATAACCAGTTTTATAATTCAAGTCTAGTGTAGAGGAAATCATTTGTCCTTTTTGCGAGACATTTTCTTTAGATCAGTCTCAAAAAATATTTTTCATCCAGATTTTGTTGTTGTTTTGTAGCAACGTGACAGTTAAAATCTTTATATGTATATATAGATGGCGCAAAGTCTTTAATATCAATCTCATCTGTAATAATTATAGAAACAAAGCAATACTGATTCATCGCACACTTCATTACTAGATCAGTATCCGTGTAAGACCCGTTTGAGGAACCGCATCACGACTATTGTAACCGAAACTTCAAATCAAGTAAATCAATTATTACTCACAAGGGGACATTACGGACGTGGATTAACCGTTGCAGTTGCAATGAAACTCTTTTTGGTGATACTAGGTGAATCATATTATACCTATATCCGATGTTCCTGCCAATTATAATTTAGAAACCGAAATTATAACCAGAAGGCGAATAAAAAAAAAAATTGTATTATATCACTTCTGTATTAGCAAGAACACTTAGACATGGGTCTAAGCTTTATCGATTTACCAAAAAAAGTTTCATAGAAATTGGTGACACCCTGTTCGTAATCTCCCCTCGTCAGTCCAGTTTCTGCGTTTTAAAACACGGATAATACTTCTTAATAGATTTAAAATCATCAGAAAAATCATTAAAAACAGAGCTATCACTCATATAAATTTCCATCCCAACCAATGTTCCAACGTTGAGGAAACTTGGTAATTTTCGTCAAGCAAAGTTGACTTGAATGTTTTCGATGAATGGACTTCTTAAAAAATAAACTAAGTTTATTTTAAGCTTCTTTATTCATAACTTTTCGGTTATTGTTTGATGTGATAACTCAACTTTTACTTATATTATGTTTATAATGTTTAGGGACATCGTTCCAAACCGATGTTTTATTGTTCTGTTTCACCGACATCAAAACTTCTTTTGTACCGCCAGCAAAACTCATTGGTTTACACAGGAACGGATCATTTTTTCCTTAGGTTTTGAATGATGCGGCTTCGTTTCAAACTGATGGAAAATATAGATCATGTCTAGCTTTAAATAAAATAATGTTAATAGCATCGATTCTCATCTTGAATTCGATTTTCAATAATTATTGCTTGATATAAGAATTTTAATTTTCACACGTTATTAATAATTTTATAAGTTATTATATTTTGAGGTATTGAAAAAGTATTGTTAATCACATGTTAATCTTCCAATACTTTTTTTTATAATTGAATAATGTAAAACTCACCTGTTCTGTCTCTTTTTCTAACGCTTTAACTCTTTGGAAATCTTTCAGCTTCTCTCGTCTCTTTTCAACCATATCTTCCAGTTTATCTGCGGTTCCGTCCACTTCTTTGAACAGTCGTTCAATCCTTTCCAGCACAAACCTGTCACAGACAAAAGTTATTATACTTGGCATCTGGTTTATCTCCGCTTAGTGGTGTGCTCTGTATACCTACCTTACGTCTTCGCTAGCTGGTAACCTCAACGCCTTCTGGGACAGTGCTTCAATGTCTTTCGTCCCTTGGTCCCTCAGCTTGATGAGGGTAGGGTCTGATACAGCCCTCGAGAGGGCTCGTGCATCTTGGACGGCTTGTTGCCTCGTCACTTCGCCGCTGAGGGAGGACATGGCTGAGACAAGTCTTCTACCGCACTCCCTGCACCTTTCAGTGAACGATTCGGCGTTCTGTAACAAAATAATTCTTTTTACTGTATCAAAATATAAACATAATTAATACTTTTTACAGTAACATTGATTCGGCAAACATTCTTTTTCTTTAAATAAAATTAGAGACCAATGTCAGCCGAAAATAATAACCTTGAACTTCAGACGTTGCTGACATCATGCCTCAGAAGAAAACCAAGAGAATTTAGCAATGGAAATTTTTTATTTAGAATGAGTTAAATAGATCAAATAAAGATGCATTGACTTTCAAGTGTCTTTAAACAGTCGAAATTTCTATAAAATTAAACAAATGAGAAAAAACATATTTTGTTGATAAATAATGACCCATAGATTCATTTAAGAGTTATTATCCATATATTGTTATTTTAACTAGGAGAAACTCCATTTGTTCAGAGGTAGCAAAATTTCGAAAATTTTAACTTGTTAATGAAGAAAACCGATTATAATGACAAAATAACCTTATTAAAATATTATCTTTCACAACTAAAGTACATTTCGGAAGTTCTAATGTACCTTATTTTAATCAACCGAATATGTTTTAAAAAAAGACGGGTTATTACTTATTCCAACGAAAATTAGATTTAGATATTAATATTGCCTTTTTTAAAATAAATTTTTAGGCTGATATTGAGTTATGGCAATTATTATATTATTTCTGGATTAGCTATTTTATTTCTAAATATAAATAATTTTAGATTGTTATTATTCATTTATTAAACGGAATTAGAAACACATTGAATAATCAGCATTGTTCTTTCTATATTATACCTAAATCCATATCCTTACTCAACTTAAGTTAACAAAACTTAGCTTGAGTCGATAAGCAATTGATCTACAAATGTTTGAGTTATCCCTTGGAAGACTTATTGCTCTAGTATAGAGTAGCTTTCCTACAGTAGTTGGTTTTTCCAAGTCTGAAGCAGGCGAGTCACGCTACTATTACTTGAAAATTATAATCTTTGCTATTCAATTGGTTTTAGTCATGACAGCTGTAAATGGTAAACAAACACCTATATTAAAAAAAACAAAAAACTATTTGGTTTGTTCAAATATAGTACGTAATTAGTATTAGGGGTCCCCTATGAATAATAACAGAGTTACAAATGTATGGGTCTTAGCCTGACATAATAATAAAAATATAAACTAATTTACTGTTAATTGTTATTTCAACTGTGCAAAGTTTGGTTGATTTCACTAAACATTCGATCTAAAAAATAACTTTTATTCATAGCTACTCATACAAATGACACATGGAATATGGTGTATGGAGGGCTATCTGCCAGGTTAGAAATGAGACTGAAGATTGAAATTTTACAGTGTACAGATGCAAGTGATTTTAAATGTTAGGGAAAGTTTGAATGTGGAGTGGGTGGTGGAACAGGAGTCGTTTGAAGGAATTTGTGGACGAGGATTGGCGCATGGAGGTAGGAAGTGAGTTCCATACAGAAGCAGCACGAATAACGAAGGATTTGCTGGAGGAGGATGTTTTATGGGAGGGGATATATAAGTCTATAGGTTGAAACCTAGTATTGAGAGAGTGGATAGAGTAGAGGAGCATAGAGCAAGGAGTTTCAGGAAGGGTTTTTGGTTCTGAAGACTTGGAAAAGGAAAACACCAAGGAGGAATTGTCGAGAAGTAGGATAAAGCCATTTCAACTCGGTGTACCAGAGTGAAACATGTGAACGCCTGGAGATCCCGAAAATGTATCTTATGAAACAATTCATGAGTCTCTTCAGTCTCATTTCTAGCCTGCCAGATAGCCCTCCATACACCATATTCCATGTGTCATTTGTATGAGTAGCTATGAATAAAAGTTATTTTTTAGATCGAATGTTTTAGTGCTATGAATAAAAGTTATTTTTTAGATCGAATGTTTTAGTGAAATCGACCAAACTTTTAAATAAAAGTTCCGTTAAACCTTTACTTAAACATTTGTAAGGGAAAATTTCTAATTCCAGAAGAACTGAAAAACTGTAGACAATAAAAATTATGATCAAACCGAAACTTTTTAAAATCAATAGTTTTTCTCCTGTTTCCAGCCCTTTTACTGTTTCTTTTTTATTAATCTTTTTGCTGTTTCAAATTGCTTTAAGTCATGACAGCTACATATGATAAAGGAATATTTGTATGAATAATTACGAAATAATTTTTATTATGAAACAAAAAATGTTTTAGTCAAATATTGTAGGTACTTGATTGCAACTCGATTTCACATGTACATTAAATTAAAATCAGTGAGTAATACAACTACAGTGCTTAGTATTAGGTTTTAATTCAGCATGCTCATGAGTTAAAATATTAATTTAATAACGATACGAAAATTCATTGTGTAAGTTAAGAACGTAAATGGTGTTATTCATATGAATTTTATAAATAGACCTGATTACATTTATCTAAGAAATTAATATAAACATTTTCTTAGCCACTAATTAATGTTAATATAAGATACAATACTGATCAGAAATATTATGTACCAGTATTATGCTTTACATAACTGTTGAAAAATATAACTGCTGATAACATTATACTATAATTAATCGCACAGACCTTATCAACACATCGATCCAAACGCTTTTTTAAATACAGTATTTCCTTCCTAAAAGTATTTAAATTCCGTTTGTTGAAGATCCATAATAGTTATCTTGTTTCAAGCCTTCAGTAAGCTGTCCGGAAAGGTTCGGATTTAGTTAAGTGGTTGACAGAAATTAATGTTGCTATAATATGCCGTACTGCTCCTGATATTGTATTATATATTAATCAAAAAATGTTAATCTAAATCCTACATATCGATTCTTCGATACAGCTGTGTGCATAACAGAGTGGGACGAACTGTAAGTTTTCACAGATAGTACCGTAATAAACTCTTTTTTGTCGAGTTCATCACCGTCCGATGATCTTACTGGAGTATATTTTCTATATACCCTTTTTCAAAGACCATATTTTTCTTTTTTTAGGAAACTTAAACACCTGATTTCTACAAAAGACACTTTGTTCATGCATTGCGAAGCATAAGAATAAATATACTGCGATTTAAACGAAAAATAATATAGATAGCCACACTGCAAAAGCCTGTTAGTACAAAAATTAGAATTGGGCTAAACAATAAATAAACTGAATAATCCTTATTTTATGAACTTGATTTTCCGTCCGATGTTCACTGATTTGAGGTCGAATAAAAAACGACCACACTTTGTTATTGAATTGTACTTTTATTGTAGCTTTACAGGCTTTTACGTAATAATTGTTGATATGGGAAATAAATACTTTGCAAAAAAAAAAAAAACCATGAAATCTGTAAATTCCAACAATTAAAATGATTTAAGCATTATACAATATATATTATTTAAAAAATAAAATTTGTGCTATTCACTCCAATGTTCTGCAATATAGCTAGTATGTATGTTTTAAAATTTCTTTAAATGGTGTGATTTGTGGAAAACCTGTAATTTCAGGTGATATTTAGTGCTTATTTTTTACATTTGAAAACTCGGCACCTTTGAAAGTGTTAGTGGATTCTGGATATTTTCTTGAGAAAAAAAAATTAATAGATTGATCGTTTTAATATAAGTAAGAAATGATGGATATCAATGATGATAAATAGCCTTTATGTTCTACAGCTTCGAGTGACCAGCTTTACATCCTCCAGAGTACTTGGTAATGGAACTAATAATCATTAAAGCAAAGAGCCTAGTAAAAGGAAATTGTCCATGGTATAGACCCCCCTTTTTAACATCCCCCTGAAACTACGTAAATAGCGCTTCATGTCATCGTATCCAACAAATATTTTATTTACGAAAATATTCGGAATTGGGCCGTTTTCAATCTGGTCGGCAAACTTTAATTAGTTACTGAAAACTCGTAAAAAACCATTTGTTTTTCACTTGAATTGTAAGATAACTTGAACGCTAATTCGAGAAAAAAGATGACCTTCACAAATATTGAGCCGTTTGGAGTGACCTATACCCCCCAGTTGTCAAAATAACGTATGTTGTATAGGCCAAAACGGCCCTGTATTTTTGTAAGCCACCTTTTTTATCGATTTAGTGTTCAAGTTATCTCACAATTCAAGTGAAAAGCAAATGGGTTTTTACGAGTTTTCAGTACCTAATTAAAGTTTGCCGAAATAAAAAAAAAACATCGTGAAAATAATTTAGGTATTATGGCAAATGAATTTAGATCTTTTAAAATGGACGTAAGAGCATGGATTAGATGGCTAGTTCGAATTGATTAGAGGTAGTTTCTAGAATTATATCTTAGACAATCAATTACTTGTTTCTATATACTAAATGGTCGGGAATACATTGAACTGTATTGGTCGAGATTGCTTGGGTCCTTGTTTTCCTATGAATTTGGTTTATTATACCCCATGGATAAAGCTCATCCGGATCGCTCTGTCAATCCCTCTTAACTTTTTATGATATAAAAGTCTGGTGGGAACCGATCCGAGGAATTCCTTGGGACAGATCCTCGCTCCTCCCTCATTACAGATGTTGACTTATGACTCCTGCCGCGTACTCTACTCGCGTCCTTTCTAGTTTCTCCACCACGGCCGCCCCGTCCCCTGCACCGCGGGCATCAATAAGCCTCCAGCTTAGCCTCCTGTCCCATTTCACACGGCTTTCACTAGCTATATCTTCCTCACTCCTGCTTTCGTACATCTGAGGGTTCATAGCCCTCCGCTGACCTCAAGCTGAGGGTTTTTATCCGTCCGTTGGATATGGAAATCTTAATACGAATGCGCCTCCCTACGAACGTAACGCTCATCTTCGTCATTACTCATTCATACATCTCTCCCCGTACATAGAAATTAACGATCGATCAGAGCTAGGAAAAACATCTCAATGTCTTGCTTAATGTATGCAGTAAATTTAACTTTAACCCTGGCGACGTGGGAATAATTGTTGATAATCATTAGAAGTGAAATTGAACTGTTAATTTGAATGAATAAACCATATATAGTAACAGGGAGGATTATATTTAGATTTCAATGAAGAGATATAAAGAGACTTAAAACTCTTGCTTGCACAAGATTAGTAAAATGTATTTATGTACAGGAAAATTCATAGGATATCCAAAGCAACAGTTACTAGCATAATCAATGATAACAAAATAGCATTTACTGTTTTATTCTCAATTCCACAAATATAAATCTAAGGAACCGGTCTGGATATTTTTCTGGATTAGGATATTGTCGTATTTATTTCGGAAATAGGACCAATATGGTAAACAATCAAGGACAGTATTTCTCCCCTCATCCCAGCTTTGCAACGGAAGTGGAAGTATCAATGAAGAATAGAGTGGTTGAGTTTCAAAACTTTTCGACGACCTAGTCAATATTAAAATATCTTAGTTGTATATTCATCCTATATACAATCAATGAACAACAGATTATGTCAATGTTACTATTAATCTTTTTTAAATTATTATTATTTGTTGTTTATTCTTTTATAAAACTGAATTCAGTAACACAGATTTCTAGTTTCTTTTTAGTCTGAGAAAGTTTCCTTTTATATGTAAATAGGATAGCAGAGCAACAATATCAATGCTCCTCTTAGAAAATTTTAGCAAATAATTATTTAAAAAATATGAGGATATTGGAAAGATTAATGAAAATTCCTGTTAGTGGGACCAAGCCCCGAAATGTGTCGGGTATGTTACCAAATTAAAAACAATAATATAAAACAATTACAATAGGAGAAAAAAGAAACTCCCACAAACTAAAACAAGACATAGATTTTTGTTTTCAGTTATTTCCGTAATATTTTCAGTTATTGATATAAAGCTTGCTCACTCTAATTATACGGTGTTGATTTTAAAGCATATTCTGGTTTCAGTAAACATTTGGTTTAATAGTTCTCCTTTTCTTTCTGTTGGCATTACAGACCACCTCTGTCTTTTGCCACCTTAACAAGCCTGCTCCATCTCTGCCTGTCTTGAGTTATTTCTTTCCAGTTACCTGCACGCAGTTCTGATGTACCTTTGTCGATTTTACCTATCCATCTGCTTTTTGGGCTTTCATGTGGTCTTTTGCCTTCTATCGAGGCATACATTTGTTTAATAGAATACAACATAAAAAAAAATATTATTATTATTATAAGAGCTATACATGCTCTTTAATTTTTTTTACCTTAAAAAAATCAGTCCATGCCGCTTGGTCGTGGACTGCATCGCCACCAAAAGCGCTTGGTACTTGATCCGGAGGGAAGTATTCCTCCAGTGAACTTTTGTCTGAGACTGTAACGTACTGAAACAATAACAATAATAATTAACTGAGTATCTTGAAGTGCAGAGGTATAAGTGCATGTTTTGAAAAAAAAAATAGTTAAAAAAAAAAGTACAGGGCTGAGCTGGAAATATGTCAATCTATTTAGTACTGATGAGATATACATACCTGTTCTGTGGACCTGGTGTTCCGTTCTAATTGTCATTTACTAATCTTTCGAATAAATATTAACTGGAAGTTAAAGGTTAAGAAAGATTCTTCCACGTGAAGAAGATTCGTCATTTGTATATTACAGAAAATATTTTATTCTCTTTTGTTAGGGCTTTAAGGCGTAAAACTTCAAGGTCTTCAATGTCTGTAATCATTACTTTTTTATATCTCTGACCTAAATTTAATTGATTCTTATTCTTTTTATCAGAAATAAAGTGATGGTATTTTGTGAATGGCAGTTCAAGAAAGTACCAGACGAATATGTTAAGAGACACAAGTTACATTTGGGCAAATTAAATCGAAACAATGTATAAGTTAAAATATGTTGTATTTTTTTACAACAATTAGACTATTGTTTATTCGTTTAAAAATAAACTGATTAGCGTACCCATATATCAATTACTCAATAAAAATATATATTTAATATGAATACATTTATTCGATATTTAATAATTCTATAAATATACATTTTTTCCTTTGGGGTTTTAAAATAATGTCTAGTTTTTTTTTTTAATATTACAGATTTATACATTCTTACATTTAGATTTATTTTAACATTTTGAAATTCTTTGACGTTCATTACTGGAGGCTTAAGTTTTAATATTCTATCTATATAAAAGTTCTGCATCATTATGTCTCTTAATGTCTTTAGCAATTTACTAAAGAAAAACATCCCCTATTATAAAATAATGAACCTTTAAATTGAAGAAATTCATAAAGTTGTAATAAATTGATGTGCGATGCCTCAATTTAAAAATCGATCTATTTTCATTAAATGCATCTCTGATTATCAAAAAATAAAGCTCAATATTAACGAAACCCCATAAGTTAAATTACATTGATACACCGTTATACAAACTATGGATTTGTTTTCTACCTTTACGAATAGATTAGTTGGTAGCAAAGGGGTACGACATAATTCTAAAAATAATTGAAAAAAAATTTTAGCATAGTAAAAATCAGTTTGAACTCAATGAGTGACTTTAGAGATGATAAAAGACTTATAATCTAAAAAATCACCCAATGTATAAAAATAATTGCAATTACAGGACAGATTTAGTCTTAACCAACCATCATTCACTCAAAACTTAGTTTCCGTTACTTTTTTGTTTTGTCCACCAGTCCTCGCCTTTTAGGCTATACGGGGATTTTGTCGGGCCAGGGGATAGGAAGAGGGATTAATGCCAGCGTTAAAAGCACCGCGCCACCAGGATTATTTTGTGTCTAATAAACTTTGGTTTATCAGGTGCTTCGTTGCCGGGAAACGCTCATCAAAGCTATCATCAGATTAATAATAATAATAATGATTATTGTGGAGCTATTAAGCTTTCATTATTGTAGTTTCATCATTATCAGTACATAATATTATTGTTTTTTAGCTCATATTAACTCGGGAATAACTACATTCAACCTGATCATGATTTCAACCTGCCGAAACGAAACTTTTAACATATAAGTCTAAATTATTTAAATTAATTTATAACATTTAATGGCAAATGTGATTTGATAAATACGATTATTAAATACATATGCCTGATTAATTGTTACGACCATAATATTGATCTAAAATTTAAGAAAACATTTATTGAGTTATATTATGTACATCTTTCTTTGAGGTTGAGCTGTCTTTATAAAACTAAGCGAATATCTCACATACTCCAACTTTTCAGTACCTTAGGTCACATACTCTTTTAGGGTGTTTTTTTTTTAATTTGAAATACGTGTAAAGTAACTGTTTTCAAAGCCTTGTTCCAAATCTGATAATAATATTGTATCGAAACTTGAATTATATCCTTTCCAATTTCACCTTACTCGGACTATAATTGATCCAAAGGAAACTCAGGAGTAAGATAGAATCCAATTATTTGTTCATGGACGAAACTCTTTGAGTTTGTTTCTATCATGAAAAATGAACAGCTATGAATCAGAGAAACTGATAATAACGAAAGGAAAGTTCTATTACAAGCGAGTGGGTCAAACAGAAGAAAGCAAAAGAGAAAAAGTATTTAAACAGCCGGAGGGATGAATAAACGATGGAAAGATTAGAAACATGAACTTAACCTTCGGAACTTAAATATTAAGTTCCAAATATTTTTAATGTCTGAAACAGCCGTTATTTAATTTATTTCAGTAAAAATAAGTATTTACTGTATACTCATACCAGATTCGTTAATTACCTTGTTATATGTTATATGTAAAAGTAATCCTCCCTTTTAACAATTTGGAACCATTTTAATTCCTCTCTTCAAGAACTGTGGCCTTTAACTTTACTATCTTATTGTTTTAAAGTATATCGCACATACAAATGCTAACTATGGAATCTGAAATCTCTACTTTTCAGGAAACGAAAAAAATAACACTAATATCATTATCAATTTTGCCTAAACTACAAGGACATTTTAATTTCCACACTAATATGTGCTTTTATGAATTTTTGAAGATTTCTTATTCTTTGTTTAAAAATATTTAATTATAGTTACAGTCGCTGGAGCGCTGGATTGAAAATCGCCATTTTTCATATTCGATTGTTAGCATTTGTATCGACAATATATAAATATATTTTATATTTAAATATTTTTGTTTCAGATGTATTTTATAAGATAATTACAAAGTTTCTGTTTAGATTTTTAGGCTTAGGCAGCCATTCTTACTAATCCAAGTTTTATATTTTATTAAAAATTGTAGGATTTAGTCACATTATTCGAAATTTAAGGTAAGAAAATAATTATAATGAAAAAATTTATGATGCAAAATGTTAGTACATATACGGAAAGCTAGTGGATAGTTGAAAGTCTAACGACTAATAAATTTATAATATATTTTGAATATGATCAGTTATGTCAGCATTGATAATTTTTATTATTATTTTATACACAAAACCACAGTTTTGGTTCAATCTAATCTCCATGAACCTGAAATTAAATATTTACAAAAATACTATACATTTTATTGTTTTGTTTTTGCATACAAAACGTTAATTTGAAATCCATTGCCTAATCACCACTTGTGAACAGTGCAAACTCATAACACATAGTTAATAACAGAAATATTGAATAATGGCGAATAAAGTAATATAATAAATAAATTATTGCTTAATTAATTTGAAAATCCAGGTATAAAAAAAAGTCTAAGGAGGTATAGTATAGTAGCTGGTATAAACAATGAATTAAAAGATATGTAATCTTAAATCACCCAGTATTTTTTCTATGTTCAAAAATATGTTTGCCAAAGCATGGC